CAGACATGAGCCACTATGCCGGGCCCACATTTTTCAAATTTCATCCCATCCTCTTTCCTCCAGTTGTGATAATGTTTGGTCTTTTCATTGTCTTTGGTCTTGCAGCTAAATATACATTCTGTTCTGACATTAGCTTCCTTGAACAATGACTGTGGGTCTCCGAATGAGCAATTGCTATTTCACATACAACAGAAGGATCCAAACTATATCAACAGGAGGTCACAGATAGGAGCTCAAAAATGTCTATAATATTCATTACCTTACATATTTTCAAGTACAATAATTCAAGTTTTCACTTTCAAGTATGGCAACTCATTGTTAAGAAAAAACATCAATTCATATTAAGTGTATCAGGTTATATATATATTCATTTTAGATATGACAGAGAATTTGAATAGAGTTAGAAAAGAATGGCAAATCTTCGAAGGGAGGAGTGTGGCCTTGTAACGGCATTCATGAAAGATGCAGAAAATGAGACAGTGTAAGTATGGACAGCAGAAAAGAAATGGAAGGAGGAAGAAAGCAGAGACCTATATCAAATCAGTTTGCAAGTTTTCAAATTCAGGCAGAAAAGTATGTATTTGATATTAACTGGGGAGGATTTATTCCTAAGATTTTATGTCCAGAATTATTATTCCCAGTTTTTAATGTTACCATCTGTCTTTTTTTTTTTTTTTTTTTTTTTTTTGGTCATGACAATGTGTCTTTCACCATTTCCAGGATTTTTTTTTTTTAAAGAAAACGAAAGAAGAAAAAACATTGCCAATTAACTTACTACAGCTGGAATACTGATTTGTATAGCAGTGGGATGAATTTCAAGTTCTTGTTAGGTTCACTGCATCTCAAAAATGGGTAATCTTTACACAAGCCCTGTTGTTGTGAAAGGTGGTTCCACAAAAAGCCACACTTCTCATCTGACAGAAGAACTGCAGGATCTTGGCAACAGTAATTCAGACGTGAGAAAGGCAGAGAGTTAGCTTCCCTGGGTACTCTCAATGATGAAATGAAATGACATTGTCATTTCAGGAATTTGATTGAATCCTGTAAGTTAAATTACCTGGTAAACTTCAGCCTCTGACCAAGAAATTTTTAAATCTCACTATTTTTATAAATAATTTTTTCAAGTTTATAATTTGTTTTTATAAGGCCCTTATTATTACCTCATATTTATAAATTTTTTTTCTTTTCATATGATATATAGCTTGGCACACAGAAAGAATCTATACTACCCAAATGATTGCTACCTCTCTTCCGCTCCCCCCAACCACACAGATATGCCCATCTCCAGCCCCCTCAAATAGACACACACACACAAACACACTCCACCCCAATGTCCTGAAGCATGTTATTCATGGTTAGGGCAACGTAGCTTATAGAATAAAAGAAGCTGTAATCTTCATGTGTCTTCACCATGAAAAAAAAAATCTGTACTGTTTGCAAATGCCATGTCCAGACAAACCAACCAACCATGAGTGGTTTCCCATTTCCTACAACATGAAGTCCTAAGATCTTAGCCCTGTATTCAAATCCTTCTACAATGTGACCCTTACCTGCCTTTGTAACCAGGTCTCCCAAAATCTTCTACCATATATGTAAGCTACACTAAGGGCTGCAGGGTGGCTCATCTACGTGCATCCTTCTAGCACAGCCCAACTCATTTCACTCATCCTAGTTTAGTAGTCCCAATCCATAGAAATCTTTTCTGTCTCTGTAGTACTCACAGTTTGAATCCCTCATCTTATACATCCAGTCTTATATTGTTACTCTCTTTATATTTGTCTCGTTTCTCCAATTAAATTACGAACACCCTATAGCTGGAATCCATGCCTCATGCTAAACCCTAACATATTACTCAGTAGTTTTATACAAAAGAAATGGGAAGACTGGATATGGATCTCTTATTTTCAAATGTTCATCTTATTTTTTAATCAAAAACGTATTTATAAACTTCCAGGTGAGATGTAGGGTAAAGTGGTGTGAGAATGCCCCGGCTTGGGTCTCCAGTTCTGCATTGACTTTGGGTTCATTTCAGAATCTCTGAGTTATCAGCTGAGAAAATGTATAAAAACCATAATTTCTGAGATGACAAAATAGAGTAAATAAAATTGATTTATAATCAATTTACATATTTAGTAACATTTTTAAAATAAAACAAGTATCAGAAATATCCAATATCATTATGAAGGTATTATTTTTAAAAGAGTACGTTGTTAACTAAAGGCCAAATTAATATTCATTTAGGCTATCTTCTATACCTTCTTACAGACATAAAAAGAAGTAAGATAAATAAATAGTAGTTCTCCTAACTCAATCCAATTGTTACAGAAACACCATCTGTTAGGAATATAGAGTACTCAGTCTACTAAGACTGCTTTGGCTGTTTTACTCATTTATTCATTTCACAAGTATTAATAAAATATTTAGAATCAATATGTCATTGTTTCATTTCAAAAGATATAAAATATTAAGAGAAAAAAAGCACAAAATCCAAACCTTAAAATACAACCCTAACTGAATGTGAAACTTCAAAACATGTATTCTTTCTTTCTCAAGAGAAGAAAACCAACCAATGCCTCAGGCTACCTTGTGCCTCTGCAGTATGTCTTACTGACAAGTATAAAGATAATGAAGAAAAGAGGCTGAGATAAGGTGTATCACACCATACTTCAATAGTCTGTATCTTATCTTGAGGCAGTAAATTCCTAATCTGACCAAACAAGCAAGCATTGTTTTTCCAGGTCATTTATCAAATGCCCATTTTCAAATCTGTTGCTACTCAGTTTTCACAATCTAATCTGAATAACTGAAGACCATTTTACAAGACAGGTCACTGGTATAATCTATTAATTAACAATCACCAACTAAACTGATCATTAACATAGCACTAAACACTTAAGAGTGTATGTATCTGCATCTGTGTACATATACTTTCCCAAATGTCAGGCTCCAGTCTTAGCCAGTACAGCTAAAAGTCAGACTTAATGACAGATACTGACATTGGGGTAACTCAATAGGTCATCTTTGGAAATCCTATACTCTCAATGTCAGAGGCAGGGTGGGGCACTAAGGATAAACCACAGACCCCAGAACAATCTGCAGCATAAAAAAAATAGTAAGTTGATTATATTAAGTATTTATTGTTCTATGTCTACAAAACATTTCAATGTTTAATTTTTTTTTTTTTTTTTTTGAGACAGTCTCACTCTGCACCAGGCCAGAGTGCAATGGTGCAATTTTGGCTCATTGCAACCTCTGCCTCCTGGGTTCAAGCAAGTCTCTTGCCTCAGCCTCCTGAGTAGCTGGGATTACAGGCACCTGCCATCATACCCAGCTAATTTTGTATTTTTAGTAGAAACAGGGTTATACCATGTTGGCCAGGATGGTCTCAATCTCCTGACTTCATGATCCACCCTCCTCAGCCTCCCAAAGTGCTAGGATTACAGGCGTGAGCCACTGCGCCCAGCCTCAATGTTTGATTTTTTAAAATTCTTTTTAAAAATGTTACTACCAAAGAAATTCAGTTCTTCAGACCTTAAGAATTCATGTATTCTTCCACTCATTCAACCAATATTTATTGATTGTTTTATGAACTATTTTATGCAGAGGCAACTGTAAAGGTAAATTTCAGAGGCATTCTAATGTGGCACTATCCAGAAGACACTACTATCATGCATTCCAAAAGTTTATAATTAAGTAGGACAGAAAGACACAACTACTTGTAAGAAAGTCATAAGCCACACAAGCAATTAAAAAGTAACTAATTTAATAGTTTTAAGGTAGGCATAGATTTCCAGTTGTTTACTATGTTTCCCAAATTCATCTGTGAAGCTTTGGTTTTTCTTTTCCATTGTCAAATTCTATAACTTGATTTCTTACATTGCTTTTCTTTTTTTAACAGATGCTCTTTTTTGAAAGCATAATCCTTAAAGTCACATGGTTCTGAAGTACATTTTCCAAAAAAGAAAACTAAATGGCTAGCTCACTCTGAGCAAACTGATTTAAGAAAAGCCTTGGCTTTCAAAATTAGGTTTTCAGGATGTTTCAGAATGAACTCAAACAGCAAATATGAATTGAAACTACACAATCACCTGTTTGGGTAGAACATTCGGATAGCCCTCAAATATTCTTAGATTTCATCAAACTTGCAGTAATTTATCTAATATTTATAAGTTCCATGAAGGCAGGGACTAGTTTGTCTTATTCACTAATAGATCAAGACAGACTAGAATGGTGTGTAACACAAAGTAATTTTTCAATAAATATTCATTGATTGACTGCTATACTTTTTTTTTAATTAATTTAATGTTATTGTACTTTAGGTTCTGGGGTACATGTGCAGATCGTGCAGGGTTGTTGCATAGGTACTTACATGGCAAGGTGGTTTGCTTCATCCATCCCCCCGTCACCTATATCTGGCATTTCTCCCCATGTTATCCCTCCCAAAACTCCCCATCCCTGCTGTCCCTCCCCTAACCCCCCAACAGACCCCAGTGTGTGATGTTTTCTTATTGTTCAACAACCGCCTATGAGTGAGAACATGAGGTGTTTGATTTTCTGTTCTTGTGTCAGTTTGCTGAGAATCATGGTTTCCAGATTCATCCATGTCCCTACAAAGGACCAAACTCTTTGTTTTTTATGGCTGCACAGTATTCCATGGTGTACATGTGCCACATTTTCCCTATCCAGTCTATCATTGATGGGCATTTGTGTTGGTTCCAGGTTTTTGCTATTATAAACAGTGCCACAGTGAACACATCTGTGCATGTGTCTTTACAAAAGAATGATTTATAATCCTTTGGGTATATACCCAGTTGTGGGATTGCTGGGTCAAATAGAATTTCTATTTCTAGATCCTTGAGGAATCACCACACTGTCTTCCACAATGGTTGAACTAATTTACACTCTCACCAACAGTATAAAAGTGTTCCTACTTCTCCACATCCTCTCCAGCATCTGTTGTCTCCAGATTTTTTGATGATCGCCATTCTAACCGGCGTGAGAAAAATATGGAACGCTCATGAATTTGCGTGTCATCCTTGCACAGGGGCCGGCTAATCTTCTCTGTATGACTCCAATTTTAGTATATATGTGCTGCTGAAGTGAGCACGACTGCTATAAATTCTTAAACACTAAGGGAACCTAATAATAATAACTTATAAGTTATTTCGCATCTATGCAAAATACCACACTATTGATTATTTATGCTTGCTGGTGCCAGTTCCACTTAACATTAAGAAAAGAGAAACATTACAGGGGAAAAGCAATTTATGAAAGTGCAACATTAAGCCTTCAATTTACATCATTTTCCAGTTAAAAATAACAAACCTCCGAAAGCACTTTAAATTGTTAATGTTTTCGGAAAACAAAACTACAATTTCTCAGTTTTCAATAGCTACCTGTGTCGTGAAATGTTTGGAGCCAACACAAAGCTTCACTGTTTTCATAGGTTGACTTCTGTCAACCTAAGACATTTGCTAGTGATTTCTTCATAGAGATTTCTAAGGATTTTTGAAATTTTCATTTTTAAAATTTTAATCAACTGTTAATAAAATCTATACTTTTTACACAAAACTTAGACAGGATTTCATTGAACTAGTATAAATTTAATAATGGACCAAATAAATAAAATACAGAACCTTTTTAAAAGAAGTGGTATAGGGAATCTTTCAGCTTATTTTTTTTTTTTTAAATATATTACCAGCATATTACCTGCAGTGACTCTACATTACCTGGTTAGAACTACGACAAGATCACTAGCTTGACTAGTAAGTCAAAAACAAAATCCGATCAAATTGGCAGTTAATTATTAGTATGATTATCTGGTGAATTTGTTAGATAAGGAACAGTAATATATACCACAAACCTTCTCTCTCTGATCATTCACAGGGGTAGGAAGAAGAACTTAGCTGAATTTCTTTGACAATGATTAATCTTTCCACTTCATTTTGCCAGTGCAAGCTTAATCACAGAAAAGTCTGGAATAATTTTGATACATTAGGAAAAAACATTCTATTTGCACTTCTATACATCAATGTTGATGCCTCTGTGATATAATTTGGCCAGTCTGTAGTTGTTCTATGAAGAGGAAACTAGAAGGCTAAATTTCAGAGGCATTCCTTGAAAACTGAAATGATTAAAAAAAAAAAAATTCCAGATTTGCAACACTAGACATGTCCTAACTAACTTGAAAACTGAATGAGATTAGGCAGGACTTTCATTTAGAAGGAATAAGAAAAATATTATATGAAATGGTGCTATAACTAAGAAAATGTTTATATTGAATTAATAAAATATCCTAGAAGAATTCCAAACTTGAGTTTTTGCCTTTGTTAGCCATTGCCTTGATAACTATGGGCAGGTCACATAACAATTCTGTAAAGGTTTATTTTTAAATCCATTAAAGTAGGTGGGGAAAAATTAGACTAAGTAGTTACTTCTGGTATAAAAACGTCATAGATTCTAAAATTTACCTTACTGTGCTTTAAAAAAATGATTATATTATTTGGTAAGATAGACTAAATACACTTTCAGATCATTGTGAAGCACTTTTAAGTTAGTATTGGGTCAAAAAGCATTGGCCAGATTAGAAAGTTTTTCTTTAGAATTTTCATTTCCAAACATCCCCATGTTTTCTTTATGTTGTACTGCTTCATCGTATTTACGATTTTTCAAAAATTTCAACAAAAATCTCATAAGATTTTTATTTTCAAAATGACTAATTTGTATATCCTTTGGTTATTAATGCTTAAAATTAGACAATTAAAAGCTAAAGTTACTTTGAGCATCAATTTGACAAAAATAATAGTAACTGGGGAAATTTATCATGATTTATTATGAATGCATTTTTAAATGAAATTTTATATTAATGAAGACTGCTTAGCTATCTACAAATTACAGTTAGCAATGATTATTAGCAATGTGCTAAGTCCTTATTTTGAACATGCTCTCTTATTAATGTGTTCAGGACAAAGCTTTCTTAATGTCACTGTCCACAAAACTTAGCATGCCACAATGAAGGAATCAGTCTTGACGCCTTTCAAAACTTCATCTTGCAAATCTAATCAGTGCCACATAAAAAGTTCTTAAGTCTGTCTAATAATTATCTGCATCTCCAATACTTCCACAGTTTCTTTCTTAGATTTCTGCTATAGTTTATACATGTCCAAACAGATAAAAATAATTCTCATTAAAAAGTCTAGGAGAATTTTTCTAAAAATGGAAGTCTGATTAAGTCAGGTCCTTTTCTATTGCCTTCAAGACAAAAATAAAACTCCCTAAAGTATTTTTTAAAATGTCATTCTGTTCTGGGTCAGCTTACTTCTACAACCATACTGAACTTTGTTAGATGTACTATTCTCTCAATCTGCTCCTGGACTTTGCATGTATGATCAATCTTATGCCAGAAAGAGTGTTCTGCCACCTATTACTCAACTCTCACTCACCGTTGTCTCAATGAAGATATCACTTCTGTCAGAAGGGCTTTGCTGATTCCAAAGTCTCCTCCATGCCCACATAGCCTAGCACCTTTCTCTACTCTTATTACTGCAGTATAAAGCAGTGGTAAAGGTAACTGACTAGGAAGAATAATTAATCGAAAAAAATGCATAATGTTTTGAGTTCTCTTAGTAAGTAGTATACACTAGAGTTGAATATAATGTAAAGCCTGCACAAAGTAATCCCATTTAATCAAAACTACCTTTGAAAATTTCTTAAATTACTATTAAATAGAGTAATACATTGTGCTATGTATATAACTCAGTATGGTCTACATGCATGAATATTTAATAAATACCACAGTATATAGTTTCATTTAAAAAATTGTACTCTGAAAGAAAATCACTCAAGGTTTTCAATTATCTAAACATATCATCAATACAGAAAGCTTCAACTTGCTAGTTCAATGGTATCATCTAAATCTTCTGTGTATGGCATATCAGTTCCTCTGATGCTTCCTTGGTCAGATTTATTTTTCATTGTTTTCTTTCCTCTAAGACAATGGTCCCCAACCTTTTTGGCATCAGGATCAGGGTTTCATGGAAGACAATTTTTCAATGGACCAGGTGAGGTTGGGGGGATGATTTTGTCACTGATTTGACAGGAGGTGGGGCTCAGGTGTTAATTCTTGCTGGTTGACTCCTTACCTACTGCTGTGTGGCCCAGTTCCTAACAGTCAATGGACCAGAACTGTTCTGCTGCTTGGGGGTTGAGGACTCCTGCTGTAAGATATGGATGCAGGCATCCTCATCTTACTTGGTTGCCTTCCTAAATAGTGTTTATGATTTCCTTGTCAATAGCCCCAAATATTAAGTTATGCATATTTGTTCATAAGTTTTTCCAACTGGTATTAACTCCTGTCAGGTTTGATTAAATCCACTGATATTGGAACTAAATTTGTTAAGCAGAATTGAAGACAATCAGCAGAACTATTTTAAAATATTTTCTTTTTCCTTTCTAAAATCTATATTTACCTAGCAAACACAATTTAAGAAGGCAAATATACTTTAAAAAGGTTAATGTATGTATGTCACTCCACTATGATTCATAAACAGCTAGGAAGTCCAAATTTCAATCTCATAAGGTATTTTAATCTTGAAACTGGAAGTGGGGACATCAGATCATAGTATACCTCATAAAGTTATCTATCTTACTATCTCTGAAATTCATAAAATCTGGTTTTGTGCAAAATGCATTTTTCTTATAAGTTAAAACGCACAGTCTTACCTTAAAGGGTTGATAATTTTGTAGTATTACCATTTTGTATAAAATGGACAAAAATGAGAAAAGACTACCTAAATAAAAAGAATATTTCCAATGAAGTAAACATTTCATGTATGCATTCATTTTTAAATTTATAATTCTTCCATAATAAACTGACATTTAGAAAAATGGTTTGTCATGTTGCTTGGTACATATCAGGTGCCCCCAAAAATTATTGTTTAATAAAAATAGCACCAAGGAAAATACTGAAGATTATGTAACTAGAATATAAAAGACAGGATACCTTTTCCAATTAAATGTAGACAAACAAAAGTAACTAAATTCTGCCTGATTTGTTAATCTATAAACATAATTTCTTTTAAAAAAATCTGTAATTTTCATTATAAGGCCAACAATGTATTCGAAGCCTAATACATTAAACTGAAGTCAGCATTTAAAATGACCCTATGGAGAACATTCTAGTCTTGTACAAAGGAGTATATTATTTGTAAATAATGGTTACCAGAAATCTTAGCCAAGGAATATAGTTACACAAGGGATGTTAACATAACACAGCTGGAAAAGTACAGAAGAAGAAAGAAAAAGCCTGTATTTTTGTTACTGTTCAGATAGATGAATAGATTCATAGATAGATACAGATATCTATATCCATATTGGCATATCAGTTGGAAAATAAAAAATATAAATGCTATAAGTAAAAGTGAGAAGTATTATGCCTAACTTAATAGAAGAAAAGGACAATGATAGAAAAAAATTAACTTGCAAGAAACTTTGATAAAGAGATTTTATCTATAGAAAAGTAAGGGTAAAAGAAATAGTGACCTTTAAGAATGAGTATTTAATAGATGATTATCTATTTCTTATAGGTCATATGATTGTTGCAGAGAGATAGAGAGAAGACTAAGAAAAAGATATTAAGAGGACAGATGAAGTGGGAGAGTGGGAAAAGTGGGGAAAGGAGGAGAGATTGAGAAATAAATTTTTACTGAATCTTTTCTAAAATTAATCTGTATTATCTTCACTGATCAAATAAGATATTTCCAAATGTCAATCAAACAACTATTTACACTATACACAGTTGTTTTTCAGATAAATAATAACTTTTAAATAGATATCAAATGAACTCTTTTTGGAAATCTAAATAAACTGACAAATTTTAACATCTATTAATTTTCAGCCAAAAAATCTTACACAATTGTCAAAAAGTGATTTTTGTCTAATTTCTCCTTTATCTTTATTCATGCATTGCTATGATGACAGCCACATTATATTCCTAGGTTTCTAGTGGCTACATATTTCTATTTTGTTTATATTTTCAGACAGTAAATTATTTTAAAATCTACTAATTATAGATAATTATATTAAACATGATAGGTACAAAGGTCAATA